GTTCTGTGCAGTTGGGAGGGGGTGACAAGAGGTGGGGAAGGTTTTGAACCATAGATACGGTACATAGAATTATTCTCATCCTGAAACTTCCTGGGCACCTCCATCTTTGCTATAGACCTAAAAGTCCCAGATGTAACAATGATGTCACCTCCATCCCTGGGGAGCTGTGTCAGAGCTATCCTCTCCATGAAGCAGACAATTACCTGAAGCATGGAGAAGAGAAGGCTCTTACTGTAAGCCACCCAGTGAATCAATAGAACGGATGGGAAGAAAACTTACCCCACACCATGGAAAGAGTTCTTGATGAGGCAATGAGAGCTCTATAGCCATAGGGTCATAGATACAGAGCTGGAAGGGACCTTGGAGACCATCTAGTCCAACCCTCTCATTTTAAAGATGAGCAAACTGAGACCCAGATAAATGAAGTGACTTGTCCAAGGTCACACAGGTAGAGTCATCATTAGGATTTGAACCTAGGTCTTCTAACTTGACTCAGGCTTTTTCCCCCTCACTGTACTCCATGCTTCAGTCTTAGCTCTGCCACTAACTTATCATGGGATCTTTTTTTTTTAATTTTTTATTTTCAGTTTCAAATTCTCTTCCTCCTTCCTGCCCTTCCTCCAACCATTGAAAAGTCAAATAGGATACCTATTATACATGCAATGTCATGTGATTGATCACTTTAATCTCTTTAAATTTTAGTTTTTTCACCTCTAAAATGAGAAGACTGGGCCCAATGGTACCTAAGGTTCCTTCCAGTTCTAAGATTCCAAGAATCACACCCTCTTTCTCATACCCCACTCTATCCCAAATTGCCTGGCTTTCCACAATCCCTTATGGAAAGGGTCCAATCATTTACTAACAATGGAAATGGTATATAATCATGATTCCTAGACTGTGTACGAGGTACCATGCTAGGTGCTGGGGATACAAAGATTTCCTTCGCAAGGTTGGAAGGAAGGGACAGAGGTCTACAAAGCAGGGATGAATGCTGCTTGTACACAGGCCCAACTTGTCCCCAGCTCTTGATGCACCTCTGCTTTAGAGCCCAGCTATCTCCGTCCTTATGGCCTCCCTAGAAAGGCCTTTCTTTGATAGTGAGAGGTACTGTACCCTGCACAGGATTCTCCAAGGCCATTGCTCATAACAACCTAGCAGGTAGCTCTAACTGCTCTTTGTATAAATACAAATACATAAACATAAATACATCTTTCTTCTCCACCAGTGACTGACAAGGTACCTTGTCTTGAGTTCCCAAATGTGCCAGGACAGGCAAGAATAGGTACCCCAGTGCCATATATGGCTTTATTTCATTGCATTTTATTTTATCCCATTTCGTTTTCAACTGTGTAAGACCAGAAGCACACAGTGAAGGAACGAGTCTCCACAAATTTCAAAATAAGTGGCTGAGACTCTTCTTATATCCTCCCTTCTGCCTTGCAAGATGGGATACACTACAACAGTGAATGAGAATTAAAGAGATATCTACATTCTAATCTCAGCTTGGTTACAAACAAGCTGTACAACAATGAGCAAATCAACTCCTTCTCTCCAGGCCTCCCTCACTTTCCTCACCTGTGAAATGAGGAGATTTGACTAGATGATGTCTAAGGTCCCTTCTGGTTCAAAAATTCTGGTTCAACAGCTTTATTTATAATAACAAAAAAGAAAACAAATAAAGAAAACTGGAGAAAGGCCGACCAAATTGTGGTACAAGCTGAAAACGGAAGATTAGCACTCCTTAAGGAATTATAAAATATATAGGCCATTAAGAAGTACAAGAGGACATATATAAAGCACAATAGCTCAAAGAAAGCAAGATGGGAAAACAATGTACACCATGTCTATAACTATGCAAATAACAATAACCACAGCGGCAAAATCTGGAAAAATACAGAAATAGACTTCAGAGAGGGGGCGCAAACACAAACAAGGATCCCTGGTTATTATTTGGAAAAGGGACTATACACGTTCTAATGCATTTATGTTCAATTATTTAAAATTTTGTTTGTGTGTTTGTTTCAAATGGTTCATTCGAAACAGATGAAGAGTAAATGGGATTTGATGTAACTATAGGCTACTTGACTAAATCTGGATGAGAATAAAGTAGAATCTAAATCTTATTATAATAATAATGATGATGATGAAGATGATGATGGAGTCCACCGGACCTAGACACCCAAGAAGCACAATTCCACACCACCATCAGTGAGGGTTTCATTGGTTTCAACCTATTCATGTCTGATGTTTCCTACTATGGAATTGAGAATAGTGAAAAACTTTGGGTCAGGGAACACAGAGTCAGAGAATCTCATAGTTGGAGAGGATTTCAGAGGCCATCCAGTCTAACCCAGACCTGACCAAACTTGCCACTACAACACAGGGGACGAGTGGGCATTCAGCCCTGGTTTGAAGACCTCCAGTAAGGGGGATATCACTACCTCCAGAGGGAGCCCATTTCACGTTTGGCCAACTCTAAGTGTCAGGAAGTTTTGTCTGACATCGAGCTTAAATCTGTCTCTGCAACTTCCTCCCATTGTTCCTGGGAATGCCCTCTAATAAGAACACATTTAATACCTCTTCCACATGACAGGCTTTCAAATGTGTGAATATAGTGTTTCCCTAAGTCTTCTCCTCTGCAGGCCCAAATCCTTCAAGGGATCTTCACAAGGCCCTTCACCATTCTGGTTCCCTCTTCTGTTTAGCGATGTCCATCCTAAAATATGGAGCTCAGCAGAGTCACAACCAAGGTGGGAGCAACCAGGGCCTTGCCTTCTGACGATTACCTTAGGGTGTACATGCAGAATTTGCAGTACTTTAGCAACAAGGCTAACCTAGTTAGTAATTAGTAAACCTAATTAGTTTAAATTGGTCACTATCAACTAGGGGTTGGCTTCCCTCTCCATTTTCTTGCTCCCTCTTCCCCTCTCAAGTGAGTGTGTGGTATTAACAGCAGGCCTAGAAACCAGAACTAAACATAAAACTCCAGATGTGGTCTGACCAGGGCAGGATCTGCTCTGTGCAACATCCCAGGCTCCTAGGAAGCTTCCCAATTATAGGTGGATATGAAAGCCCTAGGTTCAAGTCTGATCTTGGATACATAACGGTTGGCTATGTGACTATACTGTCACATGAGCAAACAACTTAACCTCTCAGTGTCTCAAGTACCTCTCTTGACTACAAATTACAGAGGAGGTGGTAATCTGAGCTGATAAAGGAAGTTCCTCACCAGGAGCTTGCTACCCTGAAGACAATCCAGGGACAATCATCATGATGCCTCCTAAAAACAAATGCACTTAAGGCCTCTGGATTCCTAAGGCAGCCCTCAGCCCCACCCCTGCCTTCATCTCTTACAGGAATCAAAGGTACTAGCCACACCAGGTGGTACCTACAACGAGAACAATAATAGCTAGCATTTATTTAGTGCTTTAAGGTTTGCAAAGGATTTTAAAAATATTATCTCATTTGATTTTCACCACAACCCTGTAATATAGGTGCTATTATTATCCCCATTTCACTGATCAGGAAACTGAGGCTGAGAGATTGAATGATTTGCCCAGATCCACACAGCTAATAAGTGTCAAAGGCAGGATATGGATTTAGATAATTCTGACTGCAAGGCCAGTGCTCTATCCCCTCCATCAGTAAGCTGCCCAATTCTTTGGTGATCCACTCTCTACTATTCCCCAGCAGATGCACATGTCCATCTCCCCTTACTTCTCCTCTTTTACTCTTCTTTTCTTCCTGTCATTCCCCCATTGCCTTTCTTTCTTTATTGTCTCTGTCTGGGGCCTGCTGTGGCTATTGCCTAGAGCTGGTGCCATTCATCGATGACCCTTGTTGTGTGACCTTAAAGCTCACACACCCTGCTGAGGACTGCTCACTTGGCTGATAGCCTGATCCATGATCTCCCTAGGGCATAGGCCTTACTATGCCCTTACTCCCAGGTCTTACTGGGCTTGGAACCGGATATTTATGGTTAGATTTAGGATTCAGACAGTTGGTTTGTTTCTCAGGTCATCATCACCTGAAGGTCTTCTTTTACCCTCCTTCCATGGATACAGCCCACTGTACCCTGGAATTCCAGCCCAGAGTGGGGCTTCCCTCATATCATAGCATTCAGGAATTCCTCTTTCCTCATGGAAGCTTACTTCTCAGAAAGAAAAGGGTATCAGGTCCGGAGCTGTATAGAAAGGAGGAGAGACACTGCAGGTGATACAGGAGAGAGAAGTCAGGGTCCCTTCGAGGTCAAAGATCCTGTCTAGCTTTTCAAAGTGTCTGACTTCATGGGCAGCAGGGTCAGATTAACCCTTGGGGGTAACTGTGCATTAGCTTATGGGCCTGTAAGGAAACATCTGTATATTAATGGAGCATCTGCCAAGTAAGCAGTACATGGGAGGGAGGGAGAGAGGGAGGAGAAAGAAGTGAGGGGTTTCCAACCTATTCTACTGATAAGCACTATCCTATGGTCCCAAAGGAAGTGAGTATTCCTCCATGAGTAATTTTTATCTCTGTTTTCCATAAGTGGATGTCACTGAATGATGACGAAAGAACTGAGAGTTGGGAGTCTTGGGTCCTAGACCCAGTCACTAACTAGCTATGTCATCTTGGGCAAGTCATTTTAGGTTCCTGAGCCTTAGTTTTTCCAATTGTAAAATGAGAGGGTTGGACCAGATCAGCAGTTTTTAACCTGAGGTCCCTGGATAGATTTCAGGGGGTTTGTGAGCTTGGCTGGGGGGCGGGGAATACATCTTTATTTTCACTAACCTCTAACTGAAATTTAGCATTTCTTTCAATTATGAATATAGGCAACAGACATTATTCTTAAAAAGGAGTCCATAGGTTTTACCAGACTGCTAAAGGTATCCAAGACACAAGAAGGGTTAAGAACCCCTGGAGTAGTTTATCTCTAAGGTCCCTTTCAGTTCCAAGATTAGAAGGCTCAGTGAGCCTATGAGCTCATAGGAGAACGTAAGGGTGCCCCCCACCCAATGTCTTACCTTGTATTTGGTGGCCAGGAGCTCTGTGGCTTGCTGCTCCCTCCTCAGGTCCTCAATCATCTTCTCCTTCTCCTCCAATAATTTCTGCTTCTCCTCATTGACCAGGCTGTGGTCATCTTGTATAGCTGCTTTTTCCTCCTCCAGTCTTTCCTTCTGTTCCTGCAGATAGTTCTCCATATTCTTCTCCAGAGGGACCTCTGGAGTAGGCTGGGGTGGTCTGTTGTTATTGTTGTTGTCATCTTCCTCATCAGCAACCCAGGCCTCAGTTACAGAACCCTCTGGGTACCCCTCAATGGCCACTGACTTCTTCCTGCGGCTGCTTCTCCGGCGCTTACCCAGAAGCCCCCGCTTCTCCAGCTGAGCCTTCAGGCGGGCAATCTCCTCCTGGAACTCCCGTAGGAGCGTGTCCTTGGGATCTTCGTTCACCCGAGGCTTGTTCTTAATATTCTTAGCCCTATTGGCAAAGCGTAGAGTGGACAGGCTCTCATCGTAGCTGTGTGAGGCCGGGCCCAGGGTGGCCACCATGATGGTCTTGGCATTTCCCCCGAGGGAGTCCTGAAGCAGCCGAGTCAGCTTGGAGTCCCGGTAGGGGATGTGGGTGCTCCTGCCATCCACCAGAGCTGAGATCACATTACCCAGAGCAGAAAGGGAGAGATTGATTTTTGATGCTTCTTTGGGCCTTTCTCCAGTGCCACCCCCTCCCCCTGAAGGCTGCGTAGCTGCCCCTCCAGATGTGTTGGTGCCTGCTTTGCCCTGCCGCTCACTGCCAGCTAGGTCTACCAGATTGAGCTTGCCCACCCGGATGTGTTCTTGGCCATCAGAACCCCGCTCACTGCACTCCACTGTAATGACAAATATGGCATGGGAACGGGAGCTGACCTCGTTCATGTGGGTACTTCCCACAGCCCTGGCCTGGTTGCCCAGATTCATTACGTGCTCTATTTCTTTGACGTTCTTGGTGACAAAGGAAGAGAGATCCTTGATGTAGACCCCAGTCTCTGGGTTCTCTTTCAGCTCCAGTCTCTTGCCTGGCTCCTTGGAGAGCAGGTCCCGGATCTCCTCCTGGTAGATCTCCAGGTAAGAGGCCCGAACCAGGTACTGCTGGTTCTGGGAACGGGAGATGTGAGTGAAGATGTGCTCAAAGGCACTGGGAATGACCCCTCGCTGCTCCGGCTCAGCCCAGGTGCCCTGCATGGTATAGGTCTTGCCGGTGCCCGTCTGGCCATAAGCAAGAACAGTGCCATTGAAACCCTGCAACACCGAGTCTATGAGTGGGCGCACTGTCTCATCGTACAGGTCAGCCTGCTTAGAGCTGGCATCGTATACCGCGTCAAAGGTAAAAGTCTTGGGCAGCTCCCCTGGGGCAGCCCGAGGGTTCCTGAGGGTCACTTGTCCCAGCTTCACATCCATCTCCAGAATCTGCTCATGGCCAGCAGCCTCTTCTTTCCTACTCAGGGGGCGGCACCGGGCCACCACCTTCAGGGCCTCGCTGGGCTTGGCTTTATTGGCCATTCTGCAGCTCACAGTACTCGCTTTCCCCCCACCCCAGGTCCCTATCCTACCCTCACCCCTGCCCCTCTCTCACTCAAGTAGCCTGGGCTGTCTGCCTGCCCTTAAGTCCAGATCCACCGGGCTGTCCCGGCCCACTGGGGCTGTTCCTCAACGTGCATGCAGCTTCCTGAGGTGATGGGAGGGATGCTGATTGGGGTGGTGGCTGCCGCTGCGCTCGCCTGGCGGTAGGCTGCTGCAGTCCTGGCCTCCAAAGCTCTCTGCTCTTCGCTTTCACCACCCCGGGCTGAGGACGAGGATTAGGCAGAATGACCAGGCAGTGGCAGGAGCAGCAGTAGCAGCGACAGGAGCAGCATCGCCTGCCAGGAGGCAGCCCCCGGAGCCCGGCCCATGCTGGGAAGAAGGAACCCTGGGTTGTAAACAGCAACAATGAGATAAAGAAAGAGGAAAATAGGATGGGGGTGGGCAGCAGGGATCTGGTCTCCTCCTCCTACTCCTCTCCAATACTCTATGGCAGTGGGTTGGGAGAGCCGGGGGTCCTGGACAGCTGGGGTCCTGGGTCCTTCATGGCCCTTCTGTGTGCATAGACGCTCACCTACAGTTCTCTCCCCAGGGTGGAGGATCATTCATTGCAGCGCTGCCGCTGCCGCCGCTGCCGCTGCCGCTGCCGCCGCCGCCAACGGAGAATGAGAGAGAAAAACAGACAGGGATGGGGCGGAGCAGCGGCGGCTGGGGGAGTGATGCTGCCGCTGCTGCCGTAGCTCTCCCACTCGCTTGGGGTGGGGTAAGGGGATGGGGGAGGGGGAGCAGAGACAGTCTGGGACTGGCTAGAAGAGAGATAAATGGTCAAGCATCTCCTCCCGGCGCCACTGCTGGCCCTTTGCTCCTCCAAATAAACAACGGGCACCTCTCTTTGCAGAAATCCTGCCCGCTCGGTGGCTTCTATCATTTCCACGCCAGAGCCTGACACTACCCACCCTCACCCCTGCAGGGCTGGGCTCAGGGAATGCTGGGAGTTGTAGTCCTGCCTTTGTTAACCGCTTTCGGGCAGGTTAGGGGTCCTAGTTCCAGGCTTGAATGCCTCGCTGCGGAGTCTGAAGGGCCCCGGATTTCCAGGGTTCAGTCTCCAATGGGACTAGAGGCTTTGAGACCATGGAGGCTAATCCATTGAGTCGGTCCCATCCTTTCCTGCCTCCTGAGGGCTTCAGCTTACCCATTTAGCCCCTCCCTCTCTAGCATCTTCAATTATCAAGAAGGGTAATAAGGTGGAAAGGGCGTTGGGTTAGAAACCAGGACGCCTGGAGTTTAATTCTTTCTGCTATTAATTTGCTGTGTGACCTGGGCTGGGGCTTTTAACCTGTCAAGGCCTTATTTTTCTCATATGTGAAATGAGGGAGCTGGGTTAGGTGAGGGGTTCTTAATCTGGGGTCTAGACTTATTTATAAAAAAAAACTTGATAACTGTATTTCCATATAATTGGTTTTTGTTGTAATTCCATGTATTTTATTTTATACATTTAAAAATATTCTGAGTAGTCCATAGGCTTCATCAGCCTGCTAAAGAAGTCCATGATACAAGAAATGTCAAGAACTTCTGGACTAGATTTCTAAAGACCCTTCTGGGTCTAAAATTCTATGCTCTCTCCCTCTCCACTGGTTTCTTCACCTCTGCCTACATGTTCAGGTATCCTCTGGATAGAAAAAAAAAAAAACTATGGTGGTCTGGTCCCACTGGCTTAGGATTCAGAGGACCCAGATTCAAATCCTGCCTCTGATACTGCCTGAGTGACCCTTGTGCAAATTACTTCACCTCTTTAAGCCTCAGTTTCCTTGACTGTAAAATGAGAGAATTGAATTAGATGGCCTATGAGGTATCTTCCAGTTCTAGTCTGAGGATCCTTTGACCCAGCTGGTCCCTCAAGAAATATATAATGGAAAGAGTTCTAGAACTAGAGTCAGAAGATCTGGATTTAAACTTTAGTAGTTGTGTGACTCCCAGCTTCCCCAGGTAAGTCACAATCTTTGTGAGCTTTTCATTTTCCTTTCACTCTGAAATTCCTCGCCAAGATGATCCATGGCTACTCCCTCCATTTCCTCACCAGGTCCCTGCAGTTGGATTTCCCTTCTTATCACCAGGGTCTGTCTTATATGCAGGGAGAACAGGTAACTTATATGGTGAGATTTGAAAGGATCAAGGAAGGGATCCTCTACTCCCAAAAGCTTCCCCCACTTGTAGCTGCAATTCCAGCATAAGAGATTCATGCTTTCAGGTTCAAAAGTTTTCCATGGTCAAGATTGCCTCATTAAAATGTGAACACCCTAAGAGTGATAATTCTTTGGCTACCACCAGCCAACAACTTAATCCATTCTTTGTTGTTGTTCAGTTGTTTTCATTCCTGTCCTACTCTTCATGACTCCATTGGGGGTTTTCTTGGCAGAGATACTGGAGTGGTTTGCCATTTCCTTCTCCAGCTCATTTGACAGATGAGGAAACTGAGGCAAACAGGGTGAAGTGACTTGCCAATGACAATAAATCATTCAACAAGCATTTATTAAGCAATGCCAAGCTCTGTGCTAGGTGATGGGAATCAAAGACAAAACCAAATCAGCCCCTGCCCTTAAGAAACCAACATTCTGTTGAGGGTTCCAACTTACATACATATGAGCAGATAGAAAGAGTATAAAGTATAAATGTAATTTATATTTTGGGAAGGATATAAAGAAGTAGCAACTGAAACAGGAGGGAATCAGAAAAGGCCTCAGGAAGAAATGGGGAATTTGAGAAGGATTTTGAAGGAGACTCTATATCCTAAGAGACAGACATGGGGAGGGAGTGCAGTCCAGGGATAGAGTGCATCTATGCAAAAGTCAGGAGATGGAATGTCAGGTTTGAGAAGGAGCAAGTAGGTCAATTTGGCTGCATGGGAGAGGGCATGATAGAGAGTAATGTATAAGAAGTCTGGAAAGGGAAGCTGTAATTAGCTTGTGAAGGGCATTAAATGCCAAACAGAGAAGTTTGGATTTTATCCTAGTTGACAATCAGGAGTCACTAGTGCTTCTTTGGCAGGGGAGTGACAATCACCAGACCTATGCTTTAGGAATATCAATTGGGCATCTGTGTGATGTATGGAAAGGTGATAGGCTGGAAGGAACAGGATATAGGATAGACTCCAAGGAGATGGCTGGACTCGGAAGGAAAGTAGGAAACATTGGGGTACAAGAGCCCATCAAAGACAAATATGCCTGCTTCACAATTTTGCCACATGAAGACCCTGCCCCTCACTGGGTTGACTCATTTTTGGCAAAAGCCAATGGTTTTACTCTGCTCTCATACTCCCTTACCCCACTGTAGCAGTCAGCACCATTGATGCCATTTCTTTGCTCTTGAATGTATCTGTTCACCTTGTCTTTTTTTTTCCTTTTGTTTCTTACTTGTGTTTTTATGGCAAGTATAGAGGACATGGCACTAATTTTCACTCTCATTTACCTTCTTATTCTCTCTCATCCTGGGCTAGGGCTGGCTTATTCATACCACCTCCAGCACCCCCCCCCCCCAACCTGTATCTATTCTAGCAGGTCAGCTAGTTCCCCAGAAGGGGCACACATGTGGCTACAACTCATTCCCAGAGTCCTAGAGATAAACCTGGTGTGGGGAAAATACACAACTAAATGGCAACTGTCTCTCTTGAGCCCCCACTGGTATGCTTCCCATTTATACAAAATAATCACAAAGACGTTATTAATCCTTTTTTTTTCTTAAGTTGTTTATTCATTTTTTTTCCTCAATTTAGCTTTGGCAAAAGTTACGTAGGAAACCAAAGAGGATAAAGGAGTAGCTAAAAAATGCTACTGTACCTGTAAATGAAAAGTATGCTCAAGGGAGGCATTTAGATTTGTAAGAATACAGATACAAGCTAGGTGGTACAGTGGATAAAGTGCAGTTCCTGGAGTCAGAAAGACCTGAACTTAAATCTGACCTCAGATATTTACTCTTTGTGACCCTGAGTAAGTCACTTAACCTCTGTCTACATCAGTTTCTTCAACTGTAAAATGGGGACAATAATAGCACCTACCTCCTAGGGTAGTTATTAGGATCAAATGAGATAATATTTGTAAAGTACGTAGCATAATGCCTGGTGCATAGTAAGCATTTAATAAATGCTTGTTGCCTTATCTTATAGCATAAAAAGTCGCATATCATTTTTGTTTTTTCACTAGTTGTTCAGTCATTCAGTCCTGTCAAACTCTTCGTGACCCACCCCATGGACCATAGCACACAAGGCCCTTCTCTGCTATCTCTCAAAGTCTGTCCAAGTTCAAGTTTGTTGTTTCCCTGGCACTTTCTATCCATCTCATCCTCTGCCATCCACTTTTCCTTTTGCCTTCAATTTTCCCCAACATCACGGTCTTTTCTAATGAGTCCATCTTCTCATTATGTCAACAAATTATTTAAGCTTCAGCTTTAGTATTTGACCCTCTAGTGAACAGTATGAATTATTATTTTTTTTAAGTATTGACTGATTGGTCAATTGTCAATTGGTCAATTAAGTATTGACTCCTTGCTGTCCAAGGACTCTCAAAAGTTTTCTCTAGCAACATAATTTGAAAGTGTCAGTTCTTTCCTTTATAATCCAATTCTTTTTATAGTCCAATTCTCACAGCCATATGTTGCTACTGGAAAAACCATAGCTTTGACTATACAAACCTTTGTCAGCAAGGTGATGTCTCTACTTCTTAGTATGTTGTCCAGATTTGCCATAGCTTTCCTTCCAAGGAGCAACTGTCTTTTAATTTTATGGCTACAGTCATAGTCTACAATGATCTTTGAGCCTAAGAATATAAAATCTGAAATTGCTTCCATTTCTTCTCCCTCTATTAGCCAGGGACCAATTACCAAGATCTTAGTTATTGCTTTTTTTTATGTTAAGCTTCAAACCAGCTTTTATACTCTCTTCTTTCACCCTCATCAAGAAGCTTATTAATTCTTCTTTACTTTCAGCTGTCAGAGTGGTATTGTCTAT